GATGCCAAACACAGACCCAGAAACAGGCTTTTCCCAAGAGAGAAGCAAAACTGGAAGTGTAGCCCTCAGTAGGCACTCGTTTATCACAGATGGAATTTTTGGGGAATGGATAAAGTGGTCTCTGTGTCTGACTCATCTCTAATTTCTGTAGACTGGATCACATCTCAGTCTCCTGCCTTCACTTTGTGGTTTCTGGGATTGTTGTGACACTGGCATGCAGTGATAAGACAGGGGAAACCTGTTCCTGACTCTGTCCTGGCTTGAAAAAACAGAGAACTATGCTGTGCTGGGCCTCACCCCGAAAGGCAGTTCCCACATCCCACTCAGGCAGACAGCAGAAAAAGAAATGGCCCAAGGCACAATTTCTGGAGCCAAAAGCCTGTGTGCTGAGTCAGGGCAGGATACCTCTTCCAGGAAGCTGGAGCCGGCCAGGCTGCGAGCACCAGGGGAGCTGGGAGTGTAGGGGTCAGCGTAGGAGGGGGAGTGGGGCACGGCCGGCTTCTCCAGGGAGCTGGAAGCTGTCGAGGGCTGACTTCCCACCAAGCTCCATCTGTTCAGCTAAAGAGAAGGCAGAATTGAGACAGGAACATGACATGTTGTTTCCTACTTGCTGCTCATCCTTGATGGGGGGGTCAGAGTGGGGAGTTTCCAGCCAGTTCCAGTCCCGGCTGTGAGGGATGGCAGATTCCCGACTAGGCTGTCTGTGCTGACAAGGGCCCTTCCCTGGGCCTGACACAGATGCACGCTCATCAAGGGGAGGGAAACGTGGCATCACACACTGAACCAGTGATGGACACATGCTGGAAAGCCCTCAGAGGAAGGGCTTGTGTCCTATGAAGTCATTAACACTCCTACTTGCAGAGTTCTGGTGCTCGGTGCCCGGCACCTCAGGTCTCAGTGTGTGAGAGGGCCATGGCCTCAGGCCTCAGGGCCATGTGCTGCGTTCAACCTCATCTCCTACACGCCATTTTCAAACAGCAATGGGTTTCTTGCCTGCCCTGGAGCACCCACCAGGACAGCTATCCCTGTGAGTAGCACACAAACCCTGCACCCTTACACTGCTGAGGTCCAGGTGTGGCGGGGGAGCTGCCGGGCGGTGCTGCGCGCCGGGTGCTGCGTAGGGCTCGTGGTACAGCAGCTCTCCAGGGGAGGGTTCAGGAATGAGCCTACAGATGGTCCTCTCCACATCCTGGCTGGGCAGCTGCTGGCCACAAGGCCCACACTTGTCCTTGGACTTTCTGGCGCTGCTTCCCCTTCGCAGGTCCTGCGTGGGCAGCCCTGTGCTTGGCCAGATGGTTTGTGCCAGGCACTGAAAGGAGAAGACAGAGCCTGGAGCTGGCTGTCCCCAGGCCAGCCCTGGAGACACAGACCCATCCTGTAGCCAGTGCAGGGCACTCCTGCATCAGCACAGTCCTGTGGCCAAGCCTGTGCCCCACGTGCTCCTCCCTGGATGTACAAATACTGCACAGGGTCAGAGCAAAGGCCTGGCCTGTCACCCCCAACACCCACAGCTTTACTCTGGGATTTCCTGGCCTTGAAACAGTCCCATTTACCCTTTTGCAATCTGTACAAACAGTCCTTACACAGAGTGCAGTATTGGGATAGGACCCTTTGGCAGACTTTATCAGCAATGCTAAAGCTGAGCCAGGACAAAGAGAGGCTCCTGGCATGGGGGTGCTGTGTTGCATGGCAAACGGGGACCAGGTGAGCTCAGCCCATCGGGCACTGGGACAGACCACTCTGCTCCAGGGCAGGGACTTTCCCCACATGCATCCCAGGCTTTCGGACTTACATGGAAAGGCTGGGAATAGCCAGGGGAGAGGGGTTCTTCGAGCCCCTTGCTCTCAGGCATCAGCACGAAGGAGTGTCCGTCAGGGAGAGAGCCGCTGTTCTGGGAGAGGTGTGTCAGGGTGGGCACTCTGCCTCCTGAGGCCCAGGAGTTTGTGCGGCCATCAGATGTGAGCGACCCCCTCCCGCTGCCAGCAAACTGGATGGGGGAGAAGAACAGCACGTAGGGACAGCCCTCTGGGTGGCTGCCAGCATGTCCCTCCCCAGCCCTGTCCCCTCAGCTTCGTCGGGCCAGCCCAGCCCTCCCTGCCCACATGAGCCTGGGGTCTGCGCTGTGCCCACATGGTGAGCAGCTGCCCGAGTGGCCATGCCTGGTGTGGTGGGGTGTGCAGCCCTTCACAGCTGAGTGGGTGGCTGATTTCAGCTTTTAGGGGCAAAAGACGAGGGTTCACAGGGAGGTGAAGGGTGCTCAGGCACCCTGACCCCATCCCAGCTGCAGTGGGCATCCCCTCCTTGCAAGACCCTCTTAATGTCCTTGTGCCAATGCCTCACTGCACAACACTGTCCCAGCCTAGGGCCAGGGACCTGCTTTTGAAGGGATTTCATATAATGTATGCCTATGTGATGTGATACAGGAATTCAAAATAATTCGTAGGGATCAGCAACTTCATGAGAGCCTTTGAGAAAGGGACTTGCAGCAAAGTCTTGTGTCACAAGAGTATGACACGTGGCCAGAGGTTGGGCAGACAGGAGTCCTGAGAAGCATCTATTGATGACCGTGCAAACCCACAGCATCAAGTTACCTGGCTGGGGTGGGGCAGCTTTGATCCTGAGAAACTCTCTGATCCAGAGAGGGAGGAGTCGGCGTTTCGAAACTGGGCTGTTTTGAGGCAGTAGAGCCACTCCTGGTAATCGTCATAGCTGCGGCAGATCACCCGGATCGAATTGATTAGTCGCCCTGTAAAAACACCCTTCACTGTCACTGGCTTTAACCGATGTGCTGCTTTCTTCAGAAACCCACAGGAGTCCCCTTGCTCCATCCCTCCCCACACTCTCCTGGGGTCTGGAGATGCTGACACTGGTGCAGGGACAACGGGAATGCTCAGCCTTCTGTGCTGACCCCTTTGCACCTGAAGAGCAGACACAGGCAGGATCCAAATGAGGGGGAACCCGGTCAGCCAAGCTGTGACAAGCTCATCCCCTGCCACTTGCTCCCAGCCTCTCCCTGCCAGCACAGCCAGGGCACAGACAGGATGACATTTCCAAGCTTGGGTGCCAACGTGAGCTAGCCCAGCCAAGAAGATGGGCACAGCCCATCGCAGAGACCTCCGTGGCTGCAGCCAGCACACCTCGGCATGCCGGACACGCACCTTCTATTAAAAAGGAGGTTTTCTCATTTTCTTCAAAAAGCACTTGGATGGCGTTGAGTGGCAGCTCGCCCTGTCGAGAGAGAAGCAGGCTTAGGACTGTACAGCTGAGCCCAGCTCACAGCCCAGCACAGCTCACAAGCCCAGCTTGTTCTTTGGGGCTCCCCAAGCTGAATTTTTCCTTACATATATGGAACAAGGACAGTCCTGGGAGAGCAGCTGAAGCAGATTTTGAACTGTAACCATCTCAC